GGCGTGCTTCTGCACACTTCACCTCATCACAGAGGATCAAGAGGCCTGCTCAGCACGAAAGCCTGAGGAGAGGATAGCCATCGAAAGAGATGGAACTGGACTCTATGGGGAGGAGCTCATTGCAAGAGCACCACCCAGAAGTTACCGACAGGCTGGAACTGGAGGGTCTTTGGTTTCTGCTCAGCTGTGTGTGGTCTGGGAGAGATTTACTTAATAGAATGACTTCACTACTTTATCAAGGACATTCTGAGTGGTTTTAACTGCAAAGCAGGACAACACAAACATAATTTGGGGCCACAGCCTTGATTCAAGCTCAAGCAACAGCAATCTTGCCCATCACCAACTCCCTGGCACCAGTGCAAACAGCAGCACATAGAAAAAGACAACCATGTCTAGGCTACTGGCACTCGGATCGTCCGTGCCAGCCCCCTAGAGCTGAACTCTCCTCACCTGACGACTGGCTTCTTTTCCCTATAAGAACTGTTCAAAGGGATGCCACCCAGGCTTCCAGTTGCTCAGGAAGGAAGCCTGCAGGCCCTGTTCCTCTCCTGATCTGCTAGCCTTCAATACTGACCTTGGCCAGGTACTGGTGGTCCCCCTGCTGCCAGTTCCCCTGATGTCCCCTTCTCTGCTCATACCTGTCATCGACGAACACTCTTGCCAAGGCCCCAGGCTGCAAATGGCTCTATGGTGTAAATGCCACCTCTGCAGGGCACGCCACATTTACAGTGTGCTCCCTGTGTCCCTCCCAAACCACAAATGGCCGAGCAGGAACCAAGCCCTCCAGGCCAGCCTGTCAGTACCTTCCAGACTGTGCTCTTCAATAAGTTCCTCCCTGTGGAGCCCAGTTCCAGCATCTTCTATGGCCATCCTCCACTTACAGCATTAGCACCATTCCTGTGTAGGGCCCAAACCCTTCCCAGTCAGATCCACAGCCAGCCTGCATGTGACCTTGCTCCACTTTTTCACTGCACAGAGGCAACTGAGGCCATGGGTGGGAAGGTGGGGTCCACAAGCCAAACCCATTTCCCATCTATTTCTATGAAGCCCAAGAGCCAATAATGGGCTCACAATTTTAAATAGTTGGGGGCTGGATATGATGGCACACACCTGCAATCCCAGCTACTCGAGAGGCCAGGGCAGGAGGGTTGTAAATTCAAGGTCCACCTGGGCAATTTAAGGAAACCCTATCTTAAAATACAATGAAAAGTGCTGGGGATGTAAGTCAGTGCTCCTAGGTTCATCTAGTACTGGAAAAAGTAGTTAGTCGGGGGAGTGGCTCAAAAGAAGAACAATATTTCATGACATAAAAATTACACGAAGTTCAAAGTCCAGTGTCCACAAGTAAGGTTTCATTGAAACATAGCCATGGCCGGCTATGTGCACACTGTATGTGGCTGCTCTCACGATACAACAGCAGACCAAGGAGCAGACACCCTATGCCCCACCCAGGAAAAAAAAAAACACCTAGACTCTGGTCCTCAGCAGAAAAGTGTCCCAAACTTTATGGCAGGTATTTGGGGCACAACAGTGACCTCAATAATGATCTTCATCCTCATGGTAGGCACTACACCACTTCCCAATTCTCTGTCACATGCAGAAGTCATGCTGAAGCCCTCTTGGGAGCCTCGCCCCTCATTCCCAGCTGCCAAGGCCTTCTGCTCCTTGGAGAATCCTTCCCATTCATAGGGCTAGATCCCATAGCCCCCAATCACTCTGGTCCAGCTCCTCCCTTCGGCAAACAGCCATGCACCAGGAGTTGACGCTTGGCTTCACTGGTGGGCTACCTGTTGTAAGGAAATCAGTGGATCCCCACAGAAGTCACACACCACTGCATGAGAGACTAAATGGTAAACTGCAGCTAACACCATATGCTAAACTTAGCCCCACTACCCTACAGAGATGGTCTTTTTACAACTTTATATATGACATCCAAAGGTACCTAAGCCCAGTCAAATGCCACTCACAACAATCTGCAGCTGGAGAGTGGCTGCCATACTTCAACTGGAATCTGCAATGTGAAATAACCATGCTCACCTGCACTGCAGAACCACGCTCCTCTATTTTTAAATGCTAGCTGCGGGCTGATAAACTGACTTGGGTTTAGACCCAAAGTTTGAAAGCTAATGCACCTGAAATAAAGCCAATGCCAAGACTCTCGAGTTCAAGAGCACTGGGGCACACGGTGTAAGCGGCCAAGGAGCGCTGCAGGAACTCCCACAACCACCACGAGGGTAACCAAAGCTCCCAGAGCTGGAAACACATCTACAGGGAGGTCACATTAAGGAGCACCTGGCTTCTGAATTCAAAGTTAAAATTCTGATAATTTTAACTTTACTGAATTCTATTTTGTAGAGAGATTGGTGCCCAATTTGTGATGTGAGACGCAGCAACTGTTCATGGGAAAAACCACATCCAAAGTCCACAGAAGAGCCTTTTTCTCTTGCAATAAGGGCATCACTGGGATTGCTAGTAAAATTTAAATAAGATCTGCTTAGATAACAGATACCAAAATAAATTTCCTGATTCTGATAACTATATTATAGGTTGTATACGAGAACGTCTTGTTTTAGTTAACAGCCATTTAAGTATTTAAGAATCAAGGTGAAAACATGGGAAGATATAAGCAAAGAGGGAGAGCTGTCAAGTAGATGAATAAAATATAAAACATTAATGTTTCAGAATATGGAAAAGACTATAACACAAGTTTTTATATTTTTCCTGTGATTTCAAAGCCTGAAATTATTAAAAACAAACATATAAGCCCTATGCCTATTAAGAGACCTTGGGGCTTTTTTCCAAAGAAAGGCAGTGATAGAAAAAGGATGGATGCACTGTCCATGGGAACTGGTTTACTTAATGCTGATCACACTTGAGAAGGGCTGCCACAGACATGTTGGAGGCAGATGTTCCCTATAGAAACTGTTTATGATCTATACTCTCAGCGCCTTCACCAGAGAAATTACATGTTTCAGTGGCTTCCCCCAGATCTGCCCCACCACCCAAGATGGCAAGTTGAGAGCCGGGGTGCGGGAGGCACTGGCAGAACCATCTGTAACAAGAGACAGCAGAGGTCCAGGGGAGACCGTGCTGAATGGGCTTTGCAGAGCACCTGCACCAAGTTGCTCCTCTCAGCCTCTCACCGAGTCCACTCCCACCCTGGGCACACTTTGTCCAGCTCCCACTGGTTTTAGTAGAAAGCATGGGGTCCACAAACTACAGTCCCTGGCTCAGCCAGCTGTCTGCTTCTGTAAATGTTTTATTGGGGTACAGCCTTGTCCATTCTGGCTTCCGCTTTCCAAGGCAGAGTTCAGAGTCATGACAGAAACCACCAAGCCAAATACATTTTATCTGGTCCTCCAGTTACTCAATTTCAGCTCTAGAGCTCCCAAGCATTTAATGACATGGATGGCATCTTCCCAGTCTTGAAACTGCATGGAGACTGAAGAACAAATCAATTGGGAACAACACTGGGAGGATCAGTGAGGTTGTTTCCTGCAGGGCTGGGCCAGAGCCTCCTTCACTTCCTGTGAGCTACAGGGAGGAATTCCTGATTTGGATGGAGAGTGGATGGACAGAAGCCCCAGTGAAGCAAAGAAGCAGGCCAACTGCTCCTGAACAGCTCACGAAGCAAGTCAAACGGAACTTGCTGTCAACCACTGTGCTCGTGAGGCAGCCCCAGAGCCCACGTTTTTGCTCATCTTTCACCCCTTTCAGCTTATCTCCCTTACATGGATGCATTTTGTACAGATCTGAATTGTGAAATTTTAAAATACTATAAAACATAAAAAATTAAACCCTTGCTTTGCGGAAAAAAAATGAAATTATTTGAATCCTATAAATCTTTAAAATCCACATTGTTTTAAAACTGAAAGGCCTATTACAGTCGGCATTGCTTAATGACAGGGATGCAAACCGAAAGCTTCATCTTTGGCAATTCCACTCTCCAGTGGACCTCCCAGGTGTGCCTAGGTAGCCAAAGGTCAGAGGCAGCACCACCTTATGGAACCACTGTCCTATATGCGGTCCCTCACTGTCACCCATTCTGCAGTGTAACCACGATGTGCAAGCTGCTTGTGCCCGCTGACAGCAGAAACATCTAACTGGAAATAGGACCCCCAGGCTTATCAGGTTTGAAACCACGCAGGTGTGAGTCACTTGAGATCTTCAGGAGGCATCCAGGTGCAAGGGCAGCATGGCAGCAGTGGTGCGCCATTCCCCAGGACCATCCCTGGCTCCCACCAATGAGCCATGCTCAAAAGGATGGACTGTGTGGACACCTGAGGCCATCCCTATCCTAGCCAGCTACTGCCCAAGCTTGCAGAGCTGCTCTTCACGAAGGCAGCAGAACCACGGCCTAACGCCTCCCCTGGGTCTTTAGGTTAAGATGAATTAGCTTTCTGCCACATTTGAAGGAAACATAGTTCATACCAACAAGGAAATACCAACAGCACACACAGTTTTCACTTCATTTTATCCAAACCCATCTCCTACTAAACTTTGCTTCATTTGATGACTTTCCATCTTGAGGAAGAAAAAAAAAAAGGAAAAATCACTAGAAGACACAGCTGCATTCTTGGTGGCACAGAGGTCTTTATTACTAAAAGGTTATGTCAGCACAGGGCCCTGCCCCAAGTCCGCAGAAGCCCCCATCAGACAGGTTTCCCACCCACTCAGTCACTTTCTATGCAACAGACCACCTGAAGAAAGGCAACGGTAGCCTGAGTTCACATGCACTCCATTCCCCCTATCAACCCAGTGGTTTAGCTAAAATCTATCCCAGTCTTTTCACCCTCTTTGGCCTTTTCTGTCTTCTCTTTCCCAAATACGAAGCTCCTTACAAGAAGCAAATCTCACTGTCCACTCCACCATGGGGGACGATGTTCCAGCACATGTAATAAAATTGGACAGCTCTTGATCAGGCACACAGGAGAGATGCAGAGAAGTCAATTCAATAGGCACCAATTTCATATGACTTTACAGTATTTCAAGCATACAACCTGCTTGTGTATGTCAATGTTCCGTTATATTTTAATTCAAGAATATTTCCAGGCTCCAGGCTGCAGAGACGCTAGCTCCTCCACTGGGATCCAGGGCCAGTTCCAAGCTCCACTGACTTATTCCATCCACACAGGATAGCACTTCACTCTGTACCGGGGATTGAAGTGAAGGGATCAGTGTTTCTTTATCTCTGCTCCTGAGAAGTAAGGGCAGAGGGGTGGGCAGAGCAGTCTTGTGCAACAGACCCATGGAGTCAAAGCCAAGGCCCAGAGGGATAAAGATGAGAGGATGACTTCACTTTGGAGCAGATGCCTGCAGGCTGGGAGGGTGTACAGCCTACCCTGGCATGTTTCTGCCAGGGGCAAAATGAGCTCAAGCAAGCGTGGCTTCTTAACAGCAGAATTGAAACCAAGTGATTTCTAGTATTTGCTTCTTGAATTCCCTAAAACTCCTCCCCAAAAGGGATACTTCAGAACGGTTCACAGCACTTCTACTTAACAGTTCCTGGTGTCTTTTTTTATGACTATCATACATACAAAGCAAAACAATAAAAATCTTTATTTACCATGCGTATGAGGACTTTTTAAAGCTTTTATCTGGACATTCTTGTAGAGATCCTCAGTATATATTCTCCCCAAGAATATTTTCTTCCAGAGAAAATGTTTTTCAGGATTTCAGCAGCTGAAGGGGTACTGTAAGTTACATGAATGTTTAAAAGTCAAAGACTTCCGTGTCATGTAATTAATTTACTTATGGAACTAAGGTTGGGTGATTTACATAGTACAGATGACAACTATGAGGAAAAAAGACAAATAAGCCATACCGAATGCCATCAATAAAAAAACCATCATTGCAAACTCATCTAGAATGTCTCCTGAGCACCTACTCACCAACTCACAAAACAAGGTTCTGGGCCTTTATTTCCTGGCACGGAGGTCTTTCTTGAGCGTTAATGTGCATTTGCATCACCTGGTCCTCTTCTTGCCAAAAATTCTGAGTTTCTGACCTTCAGGACCAGGACACTTGTGAGGAACACTGGTCAGTTTTGTCAATATCCCTCAACATTTCGCTTTGACAAGACTGCACGTCTGGCACCAGCACCAGAAGTGATGTGTCCTCGGCCTACATCATGGGGAGTTGACATCAAAGTCTCATTACCAGTAATGTTAACATTGGTAGTTGATTGTATGCTTCAGGTGGCACCTGCTGAGTTTTTCCACTGTATAGTTACTATTTTATTTATAAATACCATGGTAGTACCATGGTAATACTTTGGGATTAGGTAAATAACCACAGGTTGGAAAAGGCATGACAATTAAACGCACAAGTAGCGACCTATATTAGATACTGAAACAACAAAGGGCATGGTAGTGCACGCCTGTAATTCCAGCAACTTGTGAGGCTGAGGCAGGAGGATTCAGAGTTCAAAGGCAGCCTCAGCAATTTAGCCAGGCCCTAAGCAACTCAGCAACCCTATCTCTAAAAAATATACAACAAAAAGAGAAGGGGGTATGGGCCAGGGGGAAAGAGACTCTGGGGGTTATACCCACTATCAAAAAAAAAAAAAAAAAAAAAAGTAGAAAACTGAATTGAATAAGGTCTATATCTTATTTAATAGCCCCAATAAGATATTGTTTCTGGTTTCTATATGGCTATTTCATTATGTAAGATGTCAACATTAGGGGAGCAAGGGAAGAGAGTGGGGAAATAGACCAAAGTAGTTTTGTTATTTTTCTGTAATGACTAAAAATTACTTGAAATTAAAATTTTACCAAGTTTAAATTCTGATTCCATAGATCTGGTGATTTCATAAACTCAAACAATGCAATGCTGATCCATGCTGTGGACCATTCTGCTAGCAAGCCTCTGGCAGACAGAGCTAAAATCATCTCGCACAACTGGCATGTGGGAGACTCACTGGACTGCACGGAGGCTATGCTCCAAGTGTAGCCATCACTGACTGCGGGTGTGCCTCAAACTGCAGAGTGCTGAGCCCCTAGCCCAGCTCGGCCCAGTGTACCTGGTCCTGGGAGAAGCCAAGAGTCTGAAATCGCAGTGTTTGCTGCACACGTCTGACTGACCTTCCCCAGCTGAGCCTGAAGCCCCTTCCAAGTCTGCAGAGCCAGAACCATTCTCTCAATTTGAGACAGCTACAGGAAGTATGGACCTGACACCTCTCCCTTCTGCTGGTGGACATATCACCAAGACTTCAAGGAGGTAGGAGAGTGGGGTGAAGAAAAGTTTTGAATTCCTGCTCAAAGTGACTGACCAACCTATTCTTTTAAAATTATTTTTTTATTAATAGAGATAATAAACCCACAAGAAAGAGAATGTGGAGGCAAGCAAAAGGCTTCACTAATTTCTGACAGAGGATCCAACCCAGGCAACACAGGGAGTGGGGCTCTAGGCCCCACAGAAGCCCATGAGCAGGCTGAAGACCTTGGCAGAGGGGGCCAGGCCTGCTTCCTAAAGTCAGCTTCTGCTAAGGCCCCCACAAAGACAGGTGGAGTAGACCCCAAGCAAAGAGGACTTCTAGAGAGAAGATGCACAGCCCAAAGAAAATGTGTAAATCTGGAATTCCAGGTCCCACTGTACCAAGCTCCCAGAGGAAACCCACCCATTTTCAAAACCAGCCCCATACAGACCCAGGGTTCTGTGCCAGTTTCCTCTTGCCTTAGACAATAATAATGCAAATATTGGAGGAGGACCTACCATGTAAGGCAAGAAGCCAACATTTACCAAAAAAAAAAAAAAAAAAGTGCCATTAAACAAGAAATTTAAACACAAGAGAACCTAAAAGAATCCTCACTTCTCAGCGTCTAGGAAATAACACATTTATAAAACAGTTGTCTATTATAATAAAGAACAGGACACATACATTTTTAGAAATTAGGTTTGTAGAAAAAAATATTTAAAACAAAGCCAAGTACCATGGCACACTCCTATAATCCTAGTGACTTGGGAGGCTGAGGCAGAAGAATCACAAGTGCCAGGCCAGCCTGGGCAACTTTGCAGGGTCCCAAGCAACTTAACAAGACCCTGTCTCAAGACAAACTAAAAGGGCTGGGATGTAGCTCACCGGTGAAGGGCCCCTGGGTTCAACCCCCAGTAGTGGGGAAAAATTTTTAAACAGGATTATAAAACAAATCGAAGTCCTTCCTAGAAATGAAAGGTAAAGACAAGTTTCAAGAGGTGAATGTAATGCTTACCACCCACTAACAGGAATTCTTCAAAGAGGAAAGAGCCAAATGTTAAGGGAAAGCTGTCAAGTGACTCCAGAGAAGTGCCAGAGCTTACGGACAGCAGCAGGGTCAAAGAGCACTCGAGTGGGACTCCACGCACTTGTGCACACTATGAATTGTCATAAAGCCTAAGACAAGATCCTAAGGACGCCCAGGGAGGGAAGAGGCTCCCTCTCCAAGGGGAGGAAGAATACCTGGAAGAGGCTCCCACTGAAGCGATGCAAGGCACGGTCAAAGCCAGCCAGGTGCAGATAAGGGAAACTACGGGACGGCACCTGGGCAGGGCTGAGGAGTGACTGAAGCGGACAGAGGTAGAGGGCCGGGGAGGCCGCACGGAGGAGCCACTGTGTAAGGAGCCAACGGGAGCAGAAAATGCAGGGAGAAGAGGCGGCCGCTAGGAACAGCAGCGACAGGGCCGCCCAGGAAGCGGAGCGCTGCGGCCGCAGAACAATGCCGCCGTGCGGGCGCACTCGGGCGCCGGGCCGCCCTCCGCGCACGCCGGGCGCCGCGGACGGCCGCACCGGAAGCGAGGCGGCCCCACGCGAGGCCTCGGGCCGCGCGGTCGGGCCCCAGCGCAGGGCGGGCGGCCAGGAGACCGGGCGCGGACCGTGGGCGGCGGGGGCGCGCGGACTCGGCCGCGGCGAACGCGGGCCCGCGAGCTCGGCGCCCCGCTCCCGGGCGCGACGGCGGACACCGCCCGGCCCCCGTCCGGCCCCGAAGAGCGGCCGTTAGCGGCCGTTGGCGCGGCGGGGCGGGGCGGGGGCGGACGGAGATCTCGCTCTCGCTCTCGCCCCGCGGGAAGGGGGAGTGGAGGCGCGACCGGCTGCGGGAGCTGCAATTACCGTGTGGGCTGCGGAATTCTCGTGGTGTTTGTCGGGGAGATGCGATAATGGCGTCCGTCCTCGCGAGAGAAGCCGCCGCTCAGCGCAGGCGCCGCGAGCACCTCCCCGCGCCCCGCGCCCCACCCTCCGCGCAGCCTCCCAGGGGGCTGAGGCGGGTCTGGGACCTCGGGGGCGGGGCTTGCGCTGGCATCTTCTGCGCGCGCTGGTGCTGGAATGTGCTTGATGAGCATGCGCACGCGTCCCTCTCGCCTGTAAGGGTTGACTCCCTGGAACGCCGACTTCCCGGTCTTACGCCCGGGCTGCTCGCCAGTGCGGGAGAAATCGCTTCAGCAGGCAGTGTGAGAAATGTGCATCCTCTCCAGGACCAAGTGAATAGGCTTTGGCTCCCCCGACGACTACACATCCCAGGATGCCCTGCGCCGCCCGCGCAAAGCGTCCCGGGACTCGTAGTCCCCGCGTACGCGCCGTGCATGCTGGGACTTGTAGTCCCTCCGGAGTCCGGCCACCGCGTCCCGCGCCCGCGCCTAGGGCTGCTGGGACTTGTAGTCACGCGCGCTGGGCTGCGCTGTGAGCCTCGGGGTCCGCCTGAGTTTGGTGCTCGCCCACCTCCTGTGTGGCGGGCAAGTGCGCCGTGGAATGTGAACCCGCGGTGACCGAGTGCGCGCTTGCCGGGGTCGCGCCCTCGCTCTCCTCGCGTCCCCGCCCCGCGTGCTGGCGACTGACGAGAGGCCTCGGAGCCCCTGTCGCCCGGAAAGCAGGTCCTCCGCCTGGACTCCGCCCGCGGTGCAGAAAGGGCAAAGCTGGGGCCCGATCCAGCCGCCACGGTTAAGCCTCCTTCCCAGAATAGCACCCAGGCCCTGCGACCATCCAGGTTCAGGACGCCCTGGAATAATGCTGGGGCCCAGCGATCTCCCCACTGTCCGAACCGTAGGCCTCGCAGGAGAACACCGAGCCTTGGCCACTGTTCAGGTTAAGGGCCAAGAATAATCCTGAGGCTCAGACACAGGCTGGTCCTGGGCATTTAACAGCAAAAGCACCTTAAAGACCTTCCAAGGAAGGGACCATGGGTGCTGGACAGACAGTGGTGTTTAAAAGGGACCAGTCCTCTCCAGAGGCCAGGAGGAGGGTCAAAGAAAGGAGAGAAATTGCTAAGCAAGATCTCCTGCTGAAAGGGGAAAGGCTGGGTCTAGAATCCGGTGAACTAGAATCCTGTTGCTCAGCATCCATCTTGAATATAAGTTGGACTAACTCATGCAGAAGCAGGGCTCAGTTCCTCAGGCCTTGGGCCGCTTCCTGGGCCTGCAGCCTGCTTGACTGGTCCTGCTGACCCCAGCCCCCTGGACTGTGTGGGCATGCCATAGCCGCCATCTCAGTCACACCTCACCTGGAGCTGCTGCTTCCTTTTCACCCTCAGGGTGAGGGGGGTTGTGTGTTACTTCAGATTGTTGGGAGGTGCTGACTGCAGGCATAAAGCACAGTTACACGCCCCCTCAAGTGTTTTTGTGAAACTTTGTGTCCTGCTAAGAAAGTGTTCACAGTTACCACTGTTGACTGGCCTCAGGTCCCAGGTGTGAACAGGCTCCCACATGGTGTGAACAGTCTGATTGCCTTCTCTTTCTAAAATTGTGCTTCATGGTTCTTGGTAAACAAATGCTGGCTTCCTGGTCAATTATCCTGTTATCAACTATCACCTGGAGCGGCTCTCAGCAGGGATGACTCATGAGGCTCCCTAGGTTCCCTGAAGACATCTACAACCCTGCCCCACGCCTGACCTGAAGATGCTAGTGCTGATGTCCTGAAGGTTCAACCAAACCCCTTGCACCAGGTGAGGGGAGAGAGAGACAGATAAGAGTATCTCAGTCTGCTCTCCATCCCTCCCATCTCTGAACTCTGTTTTTTCCCATTGCTGGGCAGAGTCTTGAGAAGGGTCCCCAGCAATGACACACATACTTGGCTACCTTAATAAATCTCCTTGGAGAGAAAATGCCTGTTTCTCCTTCATTTCTGCAAAATTCCCATTGCTCAGGTCACCTGGCAATGCTGTCCTGATTGGCTGAGCCTGAAGTATGTCAGAGAATGGGGTCAGCCCACCCCTGAGCCATGTGGACGGGGGAAACTCAGAGGAAGTTAGCAGCGGACAGGGCCTAACTATCGCCGGCATCAGTAGCCTTTGTCCTGAGCTCATGCCTGAATGCACAGGAACACCAGTGTCCACATTGATGTGTCCATTTGGTGGTCCTTTCCTCCAGCAGTTGTTGACACACTTTCCAGAAGGAGAGGCTGAGTGCTTACAGCAGCACAGGAAGCTCTTCACTCTGGGTTGCTGGCTGCCGGGTTTCCCACCTTCCCTGCTGCCCTTCAAACGTGGGACAGACTGCAGTTGAGCCAGCACCTCAGCCAGGCAAGTGACAGCTTGAAGCGCCCTATATCCTTCTATTTTTTTTTTTTTTCTATTTTTGTAGCATTGCTGCTACAAAGCATCCCTTGGGCATGGATGGCAGAGGGAACAGGTGTGTGGTCTGCAAAGTCAACAGAGGTGTGCACCCAAAATCATGCTATGAAAAAATCCAGGGGAGAAGAAATGAGCCGGCAAACCCACCAAGAAATGTCCATGTGTCTGGAAAATTTTAATCCAATGCGGGTCTATGCTATTTGTTTTTAACTAGGAAGTAACTGCACTTTGGGATTGTCAGGGGAGCATTCGGTTGCATATAGAAATGGATTTCCATTTCTGTCACATAAAAATAAACACTTCTCTGGGAGCAGTGATGCACCCAACATCATCCCAGCGGCTCAGGGGGCTGAGGCAGGAGGATGGCAAGTTCAAAGCCAGCCTCAGCAACTTAGTGAGGCTTTAAGCAACTTAGACCCAAAGTAAAAAGCAAAAGGGGCTCCAGATGTGGCTGGATGCATGAGGCACTGGGTTCGATCCTCAGCACCACATAAAAATAAAATAAAGATATTGTGTCCACCTAAAACTAAAAAATAAATTTAAAAAAAGAGATTGTGTCCACCTAAAAATAAAATATAAAAATAAATTTAAAAAAGAATGAACTGCCCCTTGACAAGAGGGATGCAGGGAAATTTAGGGCTGCTGTCGAAGAGTGGGCTCCCAACTTACCTGGCCACTCAGTTGTTTCCATAGAAAGCTCTCCAGCCTGTGCGTCGATCAAGGAGGACTGATGGATGAGTCATCTCGCGAGTGAGGTGCGAGGTGGATTGTGCTCCATCTCTGTGCTCTGTGAAACACTTGGAAAACAGAACATTTCAAAAGATCAGAGAAAATAAAAATAGAAGTTCCGTTTTTTCTCCCTGCACTTTGAAACACTGTCTGGGCCCACAAACTCCATTTCAGAAAACACAAACCTAGAGAAGCTCTGAGTTAAGCTCTTGGGCTGAGGATGAAGAAAGCCTCACACCAGCAGAAAGGAAAGACCTCGGGACCGCCCCTTCTCCATCGAAAAATGCCCTGTAGTTTCCGTTAGCCCTGCAGCGTCAGGGTCTGCAGGCAGCAGAACAGCATGGGTGCAGAGTTGTGCAGGCTCGACAAGTCCAAGTTGGACAGAGAGGGCAGGCAGCTAGAGACTCAGGAAGGGGTTCAAGTCCAAGTCAGGCTGCTGGCCACATTCCTTCTTGTTCAGGGCAATCCGTCTTCTTTCTCTTCAGCCTTCAACCGATTGCATGAGACCCACCCAGATAGTGGAGGGTAAGTTGCTTTATTGAAATCCACTAAGATTTAAGTGTTAATTTTACTATATAGAGAACACCTTCATAGAAACATCCAGAATAATATTTGGTCAACGTTCTAGGCACTACGACTCAGTCAAGTTGACACATAAAATTAACCGTTTCAACTCCACATGAGAATTTTCAACTCTAGCAGAAAATTATAGACCTGTGAAGCCCACTGAATGACACTTTGTGCGCAAGGTAGACACAGGAATTTAAAGGTGTCCGGTTGGGTAAACATGAAAGCTCTTGGTTGAAATGCAAAGGGAGTGGGTGAGAGACAATCTCCAGGAAGGTAACTCAGCACGAATATCACAGTTGAAGCATATTTGTCCTCTGACCCATAAGTGTCCCAGCTAGGAATCTCATTCAGAGATGTTTAGGACAGTGTCATGTACAAGACCAAAAACAAAATAACATTCTCATCTGTTGAGCTAGTCATTGAATAAATTTCGGTACATCTTTCAGTGGAATATTCTGTCATGTTTAAAGAACTATGCACTGATACAAAGATTATTAGGATAAATTATTAAGTGGCTATGGGTGTAGATCTACCTGCATGAAACAAGAGGGCCGCACTGGGAGGTCACTAAAGCAGTCCACCCTGGGCAAGGCGGACTTCGCGGTCCACTTCCAAGCTGCTCCAGACATCTCAGGGGTCTGAATGTGCACTGTTCATCCTTTTCCAGGACAGAGATTTCTGTCAGTACGGCCACAGCACCTGAGGTGGTGTGTAAGAGGCACCTGCCAGGAGGGGAGGGACAAGATGGCGGATATTTTCTAAGCAAAGCAGAGACCTGCCAGGAAGACCACAGGGCAGGAAGGAAGACCCAGACCCACAAGGACTGCATGGATGCCGTCGGCCTCAAAGAGGGAGACTGTGGATGGTGGAGTGGCCAGGGACAGGCTGCAGAGGGCAGCTGACAGCTCATCACAGTGAGAGGCCAGCTGCTGGCTTGGGCCAACTGGGCCTCGACAAGACAAAGCACTTAGCCTGCAGCCCCAGGAGGGCTTGCAGAGGGCTTCCTGCAGCAGTGCAGGGGCCTTCACAGACAGGACACTGGCGCTGACATTAGTGAATAAGTCGAGCACTTGCAAAGGCCCCTGTGGAAGAAGAGGTAGCCCAGAGGTGGCTCTGCCGTATGAGGACAGCTCACGCTGTGAGAAGGGTTGTTGGAAGCACAGGGCCCAAGTGACAGCCCTTCCTCTGGCTCATCCTGGAGGTTTGCTGCTCTAGGGTTCCGGAATCCCCGCCCTCCCCGAGACCACAGGCTGACACCAGAAGCAGCAATCACAGCAGCAAACGCTGGCACGCCAGGCGGTCTTCCTGTGGCCTGGCATCGTCAAACATCACGGGCCATGTGGCCAGGGTGACCAAACAACCTGCCATCCACATGCAGACCCTTTCATGCCTGAGAGCAGCACTGTTGGTGTTTATGCTGAGACAAGAGGCGCTACCCACGGGCTCTTGCTCCAGGGGGATGGCTGGCATCGAGTCGTGTCTGTTTAGTGGAAAGGGGCCTCACAGCAGCCCCAGCAGCCCCGAGCAGACAGGCCACCTGCTCACCTGCTGCGTCTCCCTGTGCCTGCAGCTGGCCCCACTCCTGAGCTTCTGCCCCTACCATCTTAGCTCACGCACCCAACAGAGCCCTGTGCCTGCTGCTGAGTGTCCTGTGGCTCCAAACCAAGGTCAATACCACAGGGAACCGGGACTTTGCCCGTCCACCCGCCCTCCCGTCCTCCTGTGCTCACAGCAGCTCCCCATCACGTTTTCTAACTCCCTGGTGGACTCACCAAGCTGTTTACCAGACCAGAGCACAGTGACCTGAGTTGTGTGTCCCCAGCGAAGGCCACTTGTCCCCATGCATGCACTCCGAGCCAAACCACACACCATCTCACACAACAATCTGGGACAGGCACGGATTGAAATTTAACCATCTCAGGGGTTTGGGTGAGCTCCTCAAAGAGGCGGTATGCCTCACTCACTGTCCTGACCAAAGCGTGGTCAGAAGGGGAAGTCGCCCTCCTTGGGGAACAGCCAGAGATGTTCAGGGTCACGGTGCTGGGGAGGGACCCCTGCAAGCCCTCAGCTGTGGCCTTCTTGGTCAAGCAGATGTGGGGAACTTCCCAAGGTCATGCAGCAAGGCCAGCACGATGGTGCTCCCAGCGTTCCTGCACCCAGAGAAGTCAGAATGAGGCAGGTGAGTAGCTCTGCAGGCGCCCCGGCTGCTGCTGGAAGTCTGTAGAGTCGCAGGAAAGTTTCCAAAATGAGAGCGTCCCAAGCAAGCCAGCTTGGTTTGAGATTTCTGCTGTCTCTTTTGCATTTGATGACCCTGAGTAGGTCATTTACCCTCCATTTCCTGGGTCAGCAGGAGGATGTGCTGCTGGGGACAAGGGGTCCTCAGTGCTCCCGACCTTGGATGGGCCCTTCCTCTTTCTCGTCTTACTTAGATGCTTCCTCTGTGCACCCAGGGCCTGCGTCCATGGCTGTAGGTTCTGTTCTAACTCCAGCATCTCACTTGCTCCTGCAAGAGAAGGCGGGGCTCCTGGGCAGACCCACTGGAGATGGCACCAGTGACACTTCGGGGGGCTGACCCACAGCCCTGAGCCTCAGTGCCCACGTCCGTAAAACAGGCATGCCTGGATGCTGTGTCCCAGGCACAGGGGCACGACAAGCGTGTGAAAACCTGGTGCACATCAGACTCCGGGTGGACATTCCAGCCTCTCCAGGGCTGCCCCGGAGGGACACCAACCTGATGTTGAACCCCATCTGGAAACCACAGGAGCCCCTGGGCTCTGCACTGGCTCCGCTGGGAGGCAACTTTGGCCTGCGGTGGGGGCACTTGGCCTGAGGGGGGACGCCATCCTTGGGCACTCCTGGTCCAACTTCAGGAGGACTCTGGTCAGTAGCTGCTCTGTGGGGCTTCCGGGAGTCAGCAGGGAGAGGAGAGCCACGTCTGCACCCCACACAGAAGGGTCTGGAGCAGAAACCTCATTACCCCCCTTCACTGTCCCATCCCCAACCCCTGTCCCTTCAGCAACAGGGACATTCCACATGGGGTCCCTAGAGTAGTAGCATCACCTGGGCCCCGCCCCAGACCTGCCTCTAAGGTCTCAACAGGGAAGGGAAGACACTAATGCAGAATGTGGATCTCCCCGGGCCCCTCAACACTGATTCCCAGAGGTGACTTCCACGAACAGCTTTGGGCCAGCCTGGGACACTGCTCCTCGCCCACAGAAATGTGATTGCAGGTGCTGGAGGCTGTTCAAAATACACTTGCCTGAAGTGCAGACACCTTCAAACCTATCCTCCCTTCTCTTCTTAGCATACCCCTCAACAGCACCAGAACACCAGATCAGAATGCTGGCCCTATCACCTTGTAGCTGTGTGCCCCTGGGCAAGCATCCTAACCTCTCTGAGCCTGAGGTTTATCACCTGTAAAAGGTAGTTAATAACAGCTTTCACCGCACAACGGTGTTGGAAGAATGAAGTGAGGCGCTTCCTGGGAAGGCATGGGGCAGTGCTTGGCCGAGCGACTACCCGCTGGAGGGCAGCTGCTGCTAGGAGCCCTCGTGGATGTATCTGCCAACCACAGGCCTGGCCGCTCCCCGGAGCAGCCTTGGCCGCTTTCTGTGGCGTGCAGCGTCTCTGCGGGGCGTGAGGCAAGAGCAGGGGCAAGTATGTGTCCATAACTGTTGCAGTGCGTCCCAGTGCACGCTGCCCTAGCTGACCTCGGTAGGCCTGTTGCAGAGGTGCGCCCCAACACACTGTAATCCTCGTCCCCACACTCCAGAAAACGGCATCTGGGGAGTGCTGACCGGGGAGCAGGCAGAGCCGGCTCGGGGCCCAGTGTCTCTGCCTGGCACGTTTAAAGCATTTAAAACGGCACTTGGACACTGGAGGCTTCGCATGAATTCTGCATTTTTATCTTCTCTTGAAAGAGCCAAAGGCCTGCAGAAGGCTCTCACTGCCCAGGCCGAGAGCCACTGCCACTAGGTGCACTTTCCACGTCCCACCGTCCTCACCTCGCCCAGCTGCCTCCTGCGAGGGTGAGGGTCACTGATCACCTCACCTCTTCATTTACCGAACTTTCCTTGAAATAGGGCCCCTCAGGAGGGAAACCAGGCACCCGATTCTAATGGTGGAACTTCAGGTCTTGGGAGAGTGGAGGGCAGGGTGGGTGGCTTCCACTGCCAGCCACCAAGAGCTGGCGAGCCAAGGCAGCCATTCAGCAGGGACACAAGAAGGCTGGGTCTCAGTCGGGGCTAGTTCCCTGGTCTGTAAAGGGCAGGTGGCCAACGACGCCAGGGCTTTCCACCCAGCACTAGTGTGTCAGAGGCCATGTAAGCACGGGCATATGAAGGGGCAGAGGGCCTGCTCACACTCTGGTTAGAGACACCACGGTTGCCATGCACGTCACCTGCGGTGGGAAAGCAGGAAGGAAAACTGGAACATAAAGCAGAAAACCCACCTACCGTCACCACCACCATTTCCCACAAGAAGGACTTTTCTGTTTTATTTATTCATTTATTTTTGTGGTGCTGGGGACTGAGTCCAGGGCCTTGTGCATGCAGAGCAAGCACTCCACCACCTGAGCAACATCCCCAGTCCCCAAGAGGGACTTTTATCACCGAAGTAGAAAATATGTAATCTCAGAATAAACACTACGTTTCTACAATCTTTACGTCTGATTTAGAAAAGTGTGATGTGTCCTACTGGCCTCTGATGCTTACTTGTTAAACACCACCTCCTAAAAACAGTTCATCAGTATGTTAAAGAACAAAACACAGCGCTAGCCATTAGACTCTCAGGGTGGGAGAGATGGTCCCAGTAGGACTATAATTCTTAATTCTCAGTTTTCTAGAATTTTTCTGAAGATGCCCTTTGACCCTCAACTCTGTGGGTAGGAGTTTATAGGAAAGAAAATAATCCAGATGAGTGTACAGAGAACTAAGACAAACTTCATTACAGCTGTTTAAATTTATGAAAAGTTGGGAAAATTCTAAATATCATCACTAAAGAATCCGGTTTAAAAATCATGGCATAGCCAGGTATGGCAGCAAACACCTGGAATCCCAGCAGCTCAGAAAGCAGAGGCAGGAGGATCCCAAGTTCAAGGCCAGCCTCGGCCGCTTAGCAAGGGCCTAAGCAGTGTGTAGTGCAAGTGCATCACTAAAAACTAATCCCTGGGCTGGGGGTGGCTCCGTGTTTAGCGCTTGCCCTGGGTTCATCCCCAGCACTGGGGAAAAAAAAAAACAAAAAACACCAAAATCGCACCGTTGTTATTTCACCATCAGATGAGATCTTGGTGCTTACCAGATGACATGCAGAATAGGATCCTCGTTCATTTTGTTCATTTAAAAAAATGGGGGGCAGGGGGGTGCGCTGCGGCTGTGGCTCAGTGGTGAGCACTTTCCCAGCATATGTGAGGCATGGGGTTGCATCCTCAGCACCCCATAAAATAAATAAATAAATAAATAAAGGTATTATGTCCACCTACAACTTAAAAAAAAAAAAAACGTCTCTATGAGGGCATTTCCCCAGAAAGCAGCCTGGGCCCTTCCACCTGGGGAGCAGCCCTGAGCAGCTTCTTTTTCTCCTACAAACCTTTCTGTGTTTTCTGAAATATTCTTTTTATTTTTCCAGCTGTTGATGGACCTTTATTTTATTGGCTTGCTTATATGTGGTGCTGGGAATCGGACGGAGTGCCTCGCACGTTCGAGGCAAGCGCTCTGCCACGGAGCTACACCCCCAGCCCCTCCGAAATATTCCTGATCCTGGATCTTCCTTTAAAATCAAGCTCAAGACGCGTGGGGGTGGACCTGGAGTGAGGGGCAACCCTGCTGAGCTCCCGAGGCCACTCCTGCGGGTGGCGTACGTCCTGTGACCCTTCCCACAGGACAGGGCCCGATGCACTGTGTGGCCTGCCCTCCCCAGGCCCCTGCTGGGCTCCCCGTGGCCACACTCTGGACAGTGCACGCAGGTCGAGGCCCTCCTAGCACATGCGGGCAGAGTCTCCACTCTGGGCGGGAAGGAGGTTCCAAGTCTCGGGGTCCAGAGCGCCTGAGTGAAGGGCCCCGGGAAGGCACATAGGGCTTAGCAGACGGGTGGCCTGGGGACTCCCGGGCTCCCTGCTGCGCCGGCTTTCCCCTGCGCAGGCCCTGGGCTGTGTCCGCCATCTCCATCCAGTGGCTCAGTCAGGGTCTGTCTCCCTGTGTCCCTAGGCCAGGTCTCCAAGTCAGAGGGCACCAGGCAATCTCCCATCAACATCCAGCGGAGGGACAGTGTCTACGACCCCCATCTGCAGCCGCTCAGAGTGTCCTATGACCCCGCGTCCTGTCGGTGCATCTGGAACACCGGCTACTTCTTCCAGGTAGAATTTGACGATGCTGCTGAGCAGTCAGGTGAGTCTGTCTGGCTGGGGGTCTGTCTCCTTTTCTGTTGCACCATGAGTGGGGTCACAAGTTTAGGAAGGGGGGATGAGAGCAGTACCCTTCCTTCCTGACACCGTGTCGGGCTGAGGGAAGGGGCCGGGGACAGGGAGATGATGCCCCCTGAGGAGGGGAGGCCCCTTCACCTGCCCAAACGCAGGTTTAAGGGGACGAGCCTTGCTGAGGTGGAGCAGCTCCCTCTAGGCTGGGCAGAGGTCAGAGCCAGGCGGCCTGGTGGCACACTGCGGGTGCCACTTCTCAGGTGAAGCCGCTGAGCGCAGAGCTGGGAAGCTCAGACCCCCAGCCACCAGCCAAGGCCAGATGGCACCCTGTCACCCCAGCAGCCTCTGGGCTCCTTTTTGCTCTGTGCGTGAGGAATTCCCACATTAATTACGGCTTCTTTCCTATTGCAAGTGGCAGACACACAACTCCAACTGGCTTAAGCAAAGAGGGAAATTCGTTGCGTCCCCAGGACAGGGCCATGTCCGGGGTGTGTAGCCCCACAGCCTGCATCTCAGCGCCCTCTCTGGGCTCTGCTCTCTCTGGTGGCCTCAGGCTGCCTTGGGCTGGGCCATGACTTTCCTGAGGGTGGCAAAGGTGAAAGTTCAACCTCCCTCAGAGCAAGCAGCAAATACCCCTCCCAGCAAGTCAGCCACAGTCCTGGGCTGAAGCTGCAGTCCCAGCCTCGGCCACCGGCCTGGGCTGAGTGGATCACAGTGACTCTGGCTAGCCGGGGGATGACCCAGCCCTGGAGCAAGCTGTGGCCAAGAGCGGAGGCAAGTGACTCCCCTCAGGACCGCAGGAGTGAACAGAGTAAGAAGGAGGTCCCCGGGACATGGCGGCCTCCCGTGACCAGAGCGCCCCTGCTGTTAGGCCGCAGCCACTGTGTAGCTACTCCTGTCTGTGTAAAATGGGCCCCAGCCAGCGTCGAGGACCCCTGCTAAGTGCTGACCCGCTCTTGCCAACTGCTGCCCGGGATGGGAGACCGAGTCCACGCTGCGTGGTTTCCTCCCGCCAGCCACTAGGGACCTTGAGCACCTTTCTCAGTCCCCAAAACACTCACAGTGGCGGCCACGGCTCTCTACCAGCAGGCCTGGGGACAATGTGCTCCACCGGCACAGTGCCAGGGTGGCCTGCTCAAGAGCTCAGCTACTTGACACTCAGGCTTGGAACAGAGCATGCGTCACTGGGGGACCTGGCTCCACAGCCCAGGGCAGACACGGGTGCGTCCTCACGCGTGACATGTCCACTTTGTGCAGACTCAACATCCAGCGCCTGAGGCTCCCGTTGCTTGGCCACCGCAGGCTCCTTCTTGCCCCCCAGCCCTACCTCCCGAGTGTCCTCTGCACAGACCCCACGTCCAGCCCCATGGAACGTCCATCTGTCTATGCGACCTGCTCTCCTTCCCCCTGTTGTCCTCTCTCCCTAGCACCGTCTCCATCTTCACCTAATGAACACAGACTCATTCCTTGGGGCTCAGCTGGGACGTCACCCCCACAGGAGGCTGTCCTTGTGTCCTGGCCAGTGTAGTGTAGGTCCCCCACAGCAGCCCTCCTTGGCTGGCATAACACTCCTGACCCTGTTCCCGTCACTCTCTCCTTCTCTGTCCCCGCAGAGCACAGGCTGCTGGAAGTCGTCCCACAGTACTGAGCGCATGCACAGCTCGGTGCTGAGTGACAGGTTTCTCCTTTGACATGTCCACAGCTGGCCAGGTGCCTTCTGACGGACGCTTTCCTAAGGTGTGCTTCTCCATCCATGTCTCTGCTTCCTTCCTGTTTGGGGGGCAGGGGCTGTGGCAATGGCAAGTCTCTGCTTGGGTGACAGTGCAGTGGCCTCAGTGGTGGCAACCCCGGCGGCTCTGACAGCAGTGTTGCTGTTCCCTGGGCTCCCACTCGTGACAGGCACCGGGCAAGGCCACACCTGCAGCTGGGCCTCTGCCTTCATGTTCCATGAAGATGTAGCCAGAGCGGACCTCACCACATGGCCCCAGAGGCTGGGCTCAAGTCCACCTGGCTTTCAGACCAGAGGTGACACTGACGGCCTCGGAGCTGACTCCCCGGGGCACGTGAGCTCCTGTTCTGGAGCTCTGGGAGGGCCTCTCTGCCAGGCCAGCACAGGTGAAGCCCTGGCCCCCAGCTGTGGCCCTCACGGGCCTGGGAGAGTTGTGAAGACCTTCCTCTGCCCTGTGATGGCCACTTGGCCCCCTGGTGGCCCCCGGTGGCACGGCGTGATGTGGAGTTTTCACGGTCTTCCATCTTGTTTTGTCTTTAGCAAGTCCTGGGATTGAAGCTTAGGGCACTTCACCAAGCCACACCCCAGCCCTTTGTGTTTTGAGACAAGGTCTGGCTAAGTGGCTCAGGCTGGCCTTGAACGTGGACCCTCCTGCCTCAGTCTCTCCAGGAGCTGGGATTACAGGCGGGCACCCCAAGCCCAGCTTCTTTTATTCCAGTGTTTAGCCTTAAAACCGCAGGGTCTGACCCAAGCCTGCTTATTCTGGTAAAAGCCCTGAGCTGTGGGTACTGTCAGCAGCGTCCTGGTGGCAGCAGAGGCTGCATTATCCGAGGCCACCAGTGCCAAAGCCTGCTGACGGAGGGTGTGGAGTGGGGCTGGCACGCTAGAGCCCTTCCCCTGAGGACCTCTTTTTGAACTAAAGGACTGCCCTGACACCGAGCAGCACTCTGAAGGGTCAGTCAGAAATCGTTTCATCTGAGTCTGTGGCCTCAGGCTGGGTTCAGCTTACTGGCAAGTGGCACTTGGCTCGAAGCCTGCTGTGAAAGCTGGGGGATCAGCGGACCTGGCTCGGGTCACTGGGTCCTGGGCAGGTGACAAGTCCCCTGAGCCTCAGTTTCCCGACTGCAGTTAGGCTGCTCTGCGGGTCAGAGCGCGGGTCAGTCTGTTGGGTCCACAAAGGTCCCTGCCCAGTGCCCGGGCAGAGGCGCTCCGGACCTGCCAGCTAGCCGCGCTCACAGCACGCACTGAGAGTCCTGCACCGCGGGACCTGCGTGAGCAGGGGAGGGCACGCGGAGAACCCGGGACACGAGACCCTGGCCAGTGAGAGCTGGGCTCGGCCCGCGTCCCAGAGGGGAGCCAAGGCCGGGAGGGGTGGATTCCTGGACCAGGCTCCCAGTGGAGGAGCCAGGTGAGCCTGGAGACCCAGTCCTGACACTGCGCCGCAGGGTGCTGACGGCAGAAAGCCACAGAACAGGGATTTCCAGTCTTTAAATAAACACCCTGGCCACTGGCTGGCGGCTGTCTTGCCAGTCAGTCCTAATTTTGGAGACATTGTCACGCTGAGAATCTTCTGTTCCAACTTGAACATGCCCAAGCTGTGGCCCCTCCCTGGCCGCCGCTCCCCGGCTTTAGCTGCAGAGGCTCCCCCTGGCCTTGTCCAGCAAGGGCTGTGCTGCTCCCGCTCTTTCTCCTGGAAGGCCCCCCCTTCCTGGTCCCTTTCCACCTACGTGCCACCAGGGGGCGCTCCAGCCCAGCCCAAGACCCAGGAACCCTCAGCCCGTTTCCTTACAGAGACTTGGGGAGACCAGGCCGGCCTTCCACACGCCCTCCCAGCAGAGCTGCGCAGGGGTCTCCCCTGTTTTTATTTAATTACGCAGCAGTTTTTGTTGTTGTTCTGTTTTGGTTTTTGGTGTGTGTGCGAGCTGGCTGGGTCTGCAGCCCGGGGTAACCATGGTTTCAATCAAGACCCTTGTTTACACGCAAGTGAGCAGACGCCCGCCCCGTCTGCAGAACAGGCCCCGTGAAGGAGGAGCACTCTGCCTTGCCATGGGAAGGTGCCCAGGATCCCAAAGGACAGACTCCGACTGAAAGTTTCTTACTTAAATGGGTGTTGTGTTTTGCTGCTGCTGAGGCGTTTCTGTGAAGCGTTCTGGGCAGCTGGGCCTCTGCGCGGCGTCCTGCTGCAGGGGCCAGAGCCAGCCTTCTGGGGTCCAGGCCGACCTGCAGGGCTTCACGTCCCTGAGGAGAGCAGGGCTCGGCAGTCGCCTGCACCTCCCTGTCTCTGGGCTCTGCTCCCGGTCTCCGCTGCTCGGCAGGTATAGGTGACTCCTGTTTCTCCTAACCCAGCTGCAGGCCCTGGAGGATAGAGCCGGCCGCAGAGCCAAGCCCTTCCTCTGCCTCCGGACACGGCAGAGCCAAAGCGCCCAGCGGTCCCCACCAGGAAGGAGGGCCGGGCGACTTTGTGGGTAAGCCCTGCTGGTGGAAGTCCAGCCGCGTCCAGCTGGTGCAGGACCCATGCTTTTCTGGGGACATCATTCCTTAGGGAGACCTGCTCCTGTGCCTACCCAGGGTCCTAGGATGTGTGAGCTGGAGGGGACAACGAGCAACAGCTGGCAGCTCTTTTTTAAAAATAGTGAAGGAGTTGGAGTCCTGAAAGGCTCTGTGATGTGTGGTCACCACCAGCATCGTCACCATCACCTGACAGCATCTCACAAAGTGACAGTGTCTCCGTTTTCCTGCCAGCAGGCCTCCTTTTAGAGGTAGAGATGATCTGGCTCAGAGAAGCTAAGCCACCTGCCCAAGATCACACAGCAAGTTGGAGGCAAAGTCGACTTGCCAGTCCAGTCTTTGAGTACTTGTAGTGTCCTGTGGATTCTTCTAGAAATCCTAGACAGTTCCCAAGCTGCCAGGAAAAAGGCAAAATCCCACTGTGACACACAGACCTGCTTATCCAGTGGCTGGATGACTGGACAAACAAGTCGAGGACCATTCCCATTCCTTCCTTCACCTGCAGGGGTCCACGGGCACCTTCAAGGACCCTTCCTTGAACTAAGTGCTGAACCGGGTGGAAAGAGAAAGGGGCCTTGCCCTGAGATATGACAGGGTGACCCTTGGCTGGGCCTTGTCAACTGCATCCACCAGATTGCATCCAGTCCAGCTGTCCAGGGCGTCAGCATAGAGACGATGCTGTCATGCGCGGCTGTCCCCGTGGTCCCTCCAGCTCGCCCCCCTGTGGCTAACAGGTGCATCTGGTGCCGTGAGGATCCTGGGGTGGCCAGGACTGCTATCCCTTCCAGGGGGCTCTCCTGGCCTGGCAGAATTGGCCAGCCGCGGCGGCTCACACCCCATGCCTTCTGCTGCGAGGACTTCCTGTGAGGACAAATGCACTGGGTGCTCCGTGGCATCCTTCACCCAGGGACATTCCCCTGTGCTGGCCACTCCGGGACCTGACAGCAGCAAGGCCCGGGAGGGCCATGCAGAGCACACTGTGCAGCGGGTGAAGCCGGGCCCCGCGAGCTGCCAGAGCCACTCCCCAGCTCTGCAGCCAGTACCGCGCAGTGGCCGTCCCCGGGCACCCGGCACTCCTTCCGGCTGAAAAGGAGAAGCCCGACTGTCTCCACATGAGCAGCAACTAGGGTTGAACCACAGGAGTCTGCCGAAGTGCAGATCCCAGCCCTGCCCTGGACTGTGGAGCCAGTTCCCCCAGGGATCCAGGCTGTGTTCTGAGCCTGAGTGTCAAGCTAGCCGAGCTCCTGAGGAGGCCACCCTGGGCACTGTGCTGGTGGAGAACAGTGCTCCCAGGCCTGCTGGTAAGAGCGGTGGCCTCCACAGCGAGTGTCTCAGGTGACTTAGAAAGGAGTGCTCGTGTCGCCTGGTTCAGTGGTGGGCCTGGACTAAACAGAGCTGTGTGGGATGGGGATTGTGAGCAGGTGGCACGTTGCTCCCCAGAGCGTGTTCCCGGAAAGGCCTTGCTCTCTGTGTGTTGTGTTATTGAGTTACTTGGTGATAGGACTTAAACTTCCTTTTTAATTAAAGAAAATCCCAGAAACTTATGGGACAGGTGTGCATCTCGGGTGCCTCTGCCCTGTGCAGGAGTTGAGGCCCTCACTGCCATCTGCAGGCCGGCCGCGTGCGGCGCCTGCATGCATTCAAGCGTTTTCTGTAAACAGGGTCAGCCTGCGCTGGCGAGGTGGTGGGCAGAGGGGACCAGAAAGAGTAAACCCTGCCCGTCAGCTTGTCCCTCCAACAAGGCACCAAGCTCCAGAGCGAACTTGTACAAGATGCAGATGGTGCGGCAAGCACCACCGTAGCCCGAGGGGAACTCAGAGTCACAAACTGCGCTTTCATTCGCAGGGATCAGCGGGGGGCCTTTGGAAAACCACTACAGACTGAGGCAGTTCCACTTCCACTGGGGAGCAGTGGACGAGCGGGGCTCAGAGCACACGGTGGACGGCCACGTGTACCCGGCCGAGGTTCGTAGGTGACGTGGGCCAGGCAGCGCGAGTCCCGGTGTTTTCCATGTGCCAGGCTCTCCTGCAGATGCCAGCCTTCCCAGATGCCCAGATGTGAGGCACTTCCTGGGACCCAGGACTTTCAGTGCTCCGGGCAGAGCAGTTAGCATCCACCACCCACTTTATCACACCATTGTCCAAAGAGGAGGGTGATGCAGGCATGCTCAGTTAGCAGAAGAAGAGACAGGGGGTCTGAATGGTGATGATCATCACAGTGGAGTGGTCAGTGGTGACTTTCAGACACAGAAAGAACTGGACCAGCGTCCATGAGGCTGCCATCTCCACCCTGTGAGTACCACACTGCCTTGTCCACTGGTCACACCACTGTCCCCACTGAACCCTGAATCTGTGTGCCTCCCAAGTGACGGGTTGGTTTGGTTCATCTTGTCCCACGGTGCCCTTGGGGGATGTGTGCCTGAGCTCTGCCTGCTGTCACCTCTGCTCTTGCACACAGAGGCACTGCAGGGTGGGCTGTGGTCCTCCTCCCCTGAGTGTTCCTCGACTGCCAGGGTAACAAGTGAGAGCAGGGGACCCACTGGGCTGTCTCTGAGTCAGGCTGGGCCTGGTCCCTGCTGGCCGTCTCTGGGGTGTGGAGGTCAGGTGGGAAGGCAAACCTGGCTGCAAAGAGGGGGTCTGTGAAGGGGAATGACTCAGGGGGGCCTGCAGGCCCTGCAGCCCCCATTTCTAGGGCCTTGAGCCCCAGCCGCGGGGAGCTCCAGGTGGGCAGCGTCAGACACACCCTGGATCCCAGGGGCTCGTGGCCAGGCAACTGGCTCCTGCTGGGAGTGAGGTCCGCGAAGAGCACATGGGCCCAGTGCCTCGGCAGAGTGCAGTGCTGGCCAGAGAGGGCTCCTCAGCACCCAGGAGCCCAGGGACTCGAGGCCTGGGCCACCTCTAAGCCAGGCACTTAGCAGAAACACGAACACTCGTCCCTGGGTCCTGCAGGGCACTGGCCCCAGTACCCTTGGGTACCAACCCGCCGGTGCTCAAGCCCATCATGTGCCTGTGTGCAGGACTCATCCCGTCCTGTAGGCTCTAGGCCATCTGCAGGTCACCTGCCACCCACACCAGAGTTCTGCTCCTTCAGCCCAGACACAGCATCTTGACCCAAGGCCTTTAATCTGCGGTGGTCTGAATCCCCCAGTGTAGCACCCAAGGCAGAGGGCCAGCTGCACAGAGGCCCAGGCCCTACTGGGGAGCCACACCATCCCCTGGACACTGGCCAACCTCCCACTCCCACTCCCGTGAGGGACCCCTCCCCAGCTCACCCCCAGCCTCCAGGCAAACCCGTCTCATCTGCCAACTCTGGTGTGGAGTCCAGCAGACGTCCGCCACCCCAGATCCATTTTCCTACATCAGAAACTGAAGGAGTGTTAGAGCCACGGGCGAAGTTCAGGGCTGGGCTCCAGGGTCAGGAGGGGGCAGCATCTGGGACCCACTTGCCCTGTTGCAGTCCTGGGCTGTGTCTGGCGTAATCCCGTGGCCCTCTTCTACCTTGTAGTCACAGTGGCCTCCGCCTTGCCCCATGCCTGTGGCCTTGCCAAGTGCCTGGGAGCCCCAGGGTGCTGGCCTCCTGCGCGCCGGGCGGCCATAACACGATTCACTAACGTGATGAAGTGGCCCCTGTGTCGGCCCCATGGAGGCCGAGCACCTGGTGTTTCCAGCCGCACCCGACGCTCACACCGGGCCGCTGTGTTTCAGCTGCACCTGGTTCACTGGAACGCTGTGAAGTACCCAGCTTACGAGGAAGCTGTCCTGGGGGAGAAGGGCCTGGCCGTGCTGGCCGTGTTCCTGCAGGTAAGGGCACCCGCAGGGCTGCAGCACCGGGCGGGCGGCCCCTCTCACAGCCCCGCACAGAGGCGTGTTCTCAGCCCCCTCTCTGCTCACGTCTGTGCCTGTGCCGTGCAGGTGGGGGCCCGCCACGAGGCCCTGCAGAGGCTGGTGGACGTCTTGCCAGAAATAAAGCACAAGGTGAGTTCCATGTCTGGGGAGCAGCTAGCTGGACGGGCAGACTGTTCAGAGGAGCCCCCGTGGGCGGGGAGGGTGCAGTGGCAGGGGCATGTGGCACCAGCGCTGTGCTGGGACTGGGGTGGGGTTCCCAGTGGGTCCTGCCTGGCTCCGGGAGGGAGGCCACCTCTCCCCTCAGGGGCTCGCAGTTGTACTGCTGCCCCCAGACCCCGTTCTTCCTCAGCTCGTCTGCTGGGGTCGATTTGGGTGTCCCAGGATCAGGCAGCTTTCTGAGGGTCGGACACTCCTGCCCGCCCGTGGGACTGCCCTTATCATCACTGATTTGCTTTTAAAAATCTTTAGCTTGGTCGAGGCGATGACATCCACTGGTCATAAAGTTCCTTCTAAAGCAAATCAGAACCTCACTCTTGACCCTGTGCCACCGGGCATGCTCTGGGAAGGTCTTAATTCAGATCACCCCTGTCCTGGAGAACATGGAGTCCAGAGAGGGAAGGGAAGCTGTGGTGTGGCCAGCAGCCCCGGGCCCGGCTGGTCCTGCCTGTCCGTACAGGCGACCTTTGCACACCTTAGTCACTGGCATGGCTCAGAAAGGTGACAAGGAGAACAATGTTGCTTTTCTCCAAGGTCAGCCCAGAGAGGACTTTGATGGAGAGGTGGAAATTCCAAAGAAAAGGGTTTATTTATTTAGTACCGAACAAAAGAGTCCCCAGGAGGAAGGAGCCAAGGTGGCCGCAGGCGTGGCGCGGCGGGGGCTCTTCCCCCTGGGCCGCAGGGCCGAGTGGCTGCACTTGAAAGCCAGGCAGCCCCTTCCTTGCCAGCCGTAGAGGCTTTGATCTCCCACCTCCTCCCCTTGGTGCCGACCTCCAAGCCGGTCGCTTCCCCCCTCAGAGGGCCTCAAGGCCAAGGTGCCAGGCCCCTGCCAGAATAAACCTGGGGTGCGGATGTTTCCCAACCAGCCCCCAACCCGGGCAGGGTGGGCTCCACCTCTTGGTGGGAAAGAAGAAAGCTGGCGGCACAGCCATGTTTATGGGGGTCTGATTTCCTCCCCTGGGTCTGCAGAGCGCTTCCCCCATGAGCTCACACAGAATGTTCTGGGCAAACCCCCAGGGAGACCTGGGTTGGGGACTATCGAGGAAGTGCTGCCGGGGCTTAGTTCTGGTTCCAGTGCTGATGGCTGGGCCACAGTCTCCCCACGAAGAATAAGGCTGAGACTCCAGAGATGAGGGGACTTTACGAGGCGGAGGCCAGCCTTGGAGGGCCTCAAGGTCAGGGGATGGGAGGCACCTGAAGGTCACCTGGCCCAGCTTTCCGGTCTGCAAGCCTCGACTTCTGGGCATTCCCACAGCAGCACAGTGTGAGCAGAGCCCTGGGGCAGCCCTTCAGAGGCTGATCCACCAGTTCTGAGCCTCTCAGAGCCTGGATGCCCGCTCTGTGGAGACACAGCAGGGGGCGCACCTGGGCTTCCTGATCAGGCCGTCCCCAGGGGAGGGGAGGGCAGACCCACACCTGCTGCCTGACGCCTGGGGACTGCTACTCAGCACCGAGTTTGAGTCCCCTGGCTGCAGTGGCCTTTGTCACAACAGTGCTTTTCCTTAGCTACCCCAGCGTTGTGCCCTTGGAGAGTCCTTGAAACTCGGAGACCACAGCCTGGAGGGCAACTCTGACTCCCAGTGGTTGGGCGGTAGTAGGAGTGGCTCTGGGCCAGGTGGCTTACTGTGCCACTCACCCCTGGGTACTCTGTGAGTCCCTCCCCAGGGGGGGCCACCTGAAGCAGCCCACTCCTCCCTGGGGTTCCAAGCTCAGGAGACCAGTCACTTGGCACCACCACTCCTCCAGGCCAGGCTGCCCTGAGCCCAGCACCAGAGCTGGGAGACAACCGGCAGGGATCCAGGTGTCCCTCCCTGCTCCCGCCCTCCCCCGGGGCCTCCTAAGCACAGCGGCTCAGGGCAACCACTTCTGCAGGGTGCTCCGGCCTCAAGAGCACAGCTTCAAGAAGGAGACAGGTGGACTCACGGTCCCTTCATGCCTTGGCTTCCACAGCCACCCCGCGTCACTTCTGTGACGTCCTGCCCACCACCCAGCCATGGGAACCTGCCTGGGCTCAAGCCGGGAGACAGCACCTCCAAATTTTGCTGGGAGGGAAATGATAGCACTCTACATGGTCTCATCTTCAATCTCTCAAATGGCCCCATGGGTCCTTCCTCTGGGTTAGGACTCTCACCTCTTGGGGAACCAGAGGTCAGTGAGGCGAGGAACCTGCCCTGGGGCACACAGCCAGTAGGTGGGGACAGTTCATCGAGGGCAGTGCCACCTACAGCCAGCCACCAAGACGCCCTGCATCACAGCGCCCGCGGTCTGGGCCCCCACACAGCTCCAGCGCCCTCCCGCTGCGCCCTCCTCCACTGCCCTTTGCTCCTGCCCCGGAGTTTTGCCTTTTCTCCCCAATTTCACGCTCTCTGGCTGAGTCCTGTGGACTTTCGTGTGGAACGCCCATCCTAGGAAAGTAGGACAGCGGCTTATGGACCAGGACAGTGGTGTTACCGCTGTTGACCGCTTCCCCAATGTTGAAGTATAACACCAGAGAAGCACGCCGAGGCCAGGTCAGAGTGGAAAGTAGAGGTTTATTAAAGGACAGCAGAAAAGACTTCTCCTGGAGGAAGAAGGGGACCACGAGGTGGAATCCGTGGAAGTGCGGTTGTCTCCCCACTTATAGTTCCTTCCGTGATGGAATGTAGGTGGGAAGGCCCGAGGGTGGGGCCCAGGTGGGCCAAAGAAGTCATCTGGGCAGGAAGGACTTCTGAGTCAGCATCTTCAAGTTTGCTGGGAGCTGTTCATTAACACTTCTTTGGGATGGGCTCTGGGCCTTGGGGACATTAACATTCCAGGAGTCGCCCTGCGTTTCCCGGACTTCATTAACATTCCAAGAGTTGTTCTGCTTTTCCGGGAATTCATTCTCAACCTGGCCTCCATTTTGGATCTTACTCGATATTAGACCCGATTTACCTAACTACACGGACTACCTGACTTTAAATCTGGCTTCAGTGGGACCCTGGAGTAGGCGCCTTCACCCCATGGCCACCCCACACACCGGGTGCCCCAGTGTCGCCTTCTGGCCAGGTGCCTTGAGGTCCTTGAGGAAGGGCCTTGACGTGGGGGGGTCATCTGCAGTGGAACATGACCAGAGCATTCACACATGCACACACAGTGTGACCAGCCCCGAGGACACGTGCAGGGGCAGAAGGCCACACGCCCGAGACCCCTCACATCCAAGACACCCAGCACCAGCAACCCCGGAGCTGGGAAGCAGACCGGCACCCCGGTGAGGGGTCCTCTGCGGTGAGAAGACCAGGATGTGGGGTCCCACACTGCAGTGTTCAGGCCCGAGCAGGAAAGCGGGCCCCCACTTCAGTGTGGATGACACATGAGGACGTTAGCTCAGGGGGATCGGCCGGCACAACCGACCGAGCACAGGCCTCCACTCAGGGAGGTACGTGGAGTGGTCACCACCAGCCAGCAAGGGGCACGGTAGACACCAGGGCTCCCTTGGGGAGCTGGTGGGTGGGATGGCGTTGGGTGTGGAGGGTGGCACAGTCCCAGAGCCCAAGATGGCTGCACAGCGGGGGACGTGCAGGTGCCCTGCTGCCTTGGTAAAAGCCGGTGGGGACCAGCGCGTCCCCGTGTTTCATCACAGTAGAGCAGTGTGAGCTTTCCACGGCCAGAGGCATGAGAAGGAGCGCTTTCCAGGGAAGTCGTGAGTCTGGGTGGAAACCTCTTGTCCCTGCTTCAGAACGAGGCAGTGGCAGCTGCCTAGAGTGGCCTGTTGGGGAAGTACCTCCCCCGACGCAGGGCGGTCGCCCCACTCCCCCGATCCAGCACTGACACCATGGCCCCCGGTTCTTGCTCCCAGGACATGCGGGCGGCCATGGGCCCCTTCAGCCCCTCCTGTCTGCTGCCTGCCTGCCAGGATTACTGGACCTACTCGGGCTCCCTCACCACCCCGCCCCTGGCAGAATCTGTCACCTGGATCATCCAGAAGCAGCCCGTCGAGGTGGCTGCAAGCCAGGTGAGTGGGCTGGGACGGGGTCGTGGCCTGTGTGGGGGTCTCCTCCTGGGGCAGCTCCTCTAAGCTCTGTGCAGGAGCACCCTGGAGCTCGTCCTCGGGCACCACTGATGTCCCTGCCCTGCCCTGACTGGGAGGAATCCCAGCTGTGTGGGCTGGTGGAGAAGGAGCCGGGCTCCGCCTGTCACGGGTCTCCTGACATGGAGCTGCTGGGGTTAGGGTTAGGGTTAGGGTTGGGGTTGGGTTGGGGGGGGATAGCTGGATCCTCGCAGTCCCTGAGCCCAGTGTTTGCACAGGACCTGCTCACGTCCCCAATATACCCCAAGTCATCCCTCGGTTACTTTTAATACTTAACACGATGTAGGTGTCATGTAAATGGTTTTTTTGTTCGGGGATAAGGAACAGAGGAAATGTCTGTACATGTTCAGTACAGACAGAATTTTTTTGGGGGGTAGTAGTTTTAACTTCTGCATTGGTTGAATCCGAGGATGCAGAACCCACAGATGTGGAGGAGTGGCAGTGTGCGCTAGTCACCTATGACTGTGTAACAAAGAGCTCCAAACTTAATCACTGATAGTGGGTATTTATTTTCTCTCAAAGTCTCTGTGGGCTTAGGAACTGGCTGGTCCTTGCTTGCAGTCCCTTGTGGGGTTACGGTGCCCTGCGAGCAGGAACTGCTCCCTCCTGACAGCTCGGTGGGGGCTGGAGGACTCATCCCCAGGTGCTGGCACGAGGCTGCTGGCTGTTGGATGGGGGCCTTACTTCCTGTCCTTGTGGCTGTCCCCGGGGCTTTCGAGTATTCATATGGTAGATGGTTTCCTCCAGAGAAAGTGGCCTTAAAGACCAAGCTGCCAATCGTGATGCCCTCTAAGACCTTCCCTTGGGAGCCGCCTGGCATCACGTCCAGTGTCCTCCACACAGGGCCATCCCTGATCTGGCGTAGGAGGGGCCTGTGCAAGGTGTGAGGGACCCAGGGGCAGGACGGCTCCCTGCCCTCTCCGTGGCTCTCTCTTCCAGGTCTCCGCCTTCCGGGAGCTCCTGTTCTCCCCGCTCGGTGAAGAGGAGGAGATCATGGTGGACAACTGTCGCCGACGCCAGCCCCTGATGGGCCGGAGGGTCCGCTCGTCCTTCAGGCCACTGAAGTGGGGATGAGGTCCTAGAACCATCATGTCCACATAGTAGGCAGCGCGGACCGTGCGAGGGCTCCCACTCTGCTGACCGTGCTTCTCGGATTAAAAGAGAGGAAGAGTGTTGTCCCCATGATGTGCTTCTAAGTTGCAAGGGCAAGAAATCACTAAGGACGCCTCAGGGCACAGGGAACAGATGCTGGGACCCAGGGCAGGCAAGTAGAAGGTGGTCCCCGAGGCCAGCAGCCACCCGGGCCAAGGCTGCCCACTCGCCTCTCTCAGCTATACTCGTCCCCCTGCATAGGGGTGTCCTCCACTGTCCACTCTCAAGGCCACCCCAGAGTCCCCACACCACACAAGACCAGGACTAACACCCTTCTCCCCAGTTCCAAGTCCCTGGGGGTCTCAGTGTCCTTGGCCACTGGAACACAGAAGGAGGGACTGCGTGGCCTAGAACAGCGGTGAGCTCCATTTGGGAAGCCAGGGGTCTGAAGTCGGGGTGTCTCAGGGCTGCGTCCCTCCAGAGGCTTCCACCATTGCCTCTCTGGTTAAAGGACCCTTGCGATCATGTGTCCACCAGATCATCCAGGATGACCTCCCGTCTCAAGCCCCTCGGATTGATCCCCTCTGTGGGCCCCCTTTTGCACACAAGGTCTCATAGCCACAGATTCCAGGATTAGGATGTGGACATCTCCAACTCCGAGACCCGCACTGGGGCGGGTGGGGGCTGGAAGGGGCAGGAGGAGGGGCACTCCGCATCGAGGCTGGGGTGCCCCTCCCTGCCTGCTCTTGGACTCTGGCTCCTGGCTCAGCTCCTCTGCACTGAGGGAAGGCAGAGGCCCACTGCGCCCAGGCCTCAGAAGCCCCTGTGCTCCCCAGGTGCCGTCCTGCCGCAGCTGCCACCCTGGCTTCCTGCAGTCTCTAGGCCAGGCCCTGACCCTGTGCCTTGGGCTCCTGCAATGACTGTCCCACCTTCCTCTGCCTAGCCCCTCACCTTGCCCCATGGGGCTGGGTCCTGCTGCCTCCTGCCTCCACCTGGAGTCCCCCGGCCTCTGCACCAGCCTCCACCGCCGGCCTGCTCCAGGCCTTACCCTGTGTCTCCCAGGACCTGCTGCCAGGTGTGCTCTGTACTTACTGCTTCTGCCTCAGGGAACTTAAGCTCCTTGGGACAAGGACAATTGAGCCATCTAGGACAGAGCCTGGCTCGCGGCCGGGGAGGGGTGCTCGGTGAATATCTGTTAGTGAATGAAGGGCCAGCTCAGAGCTCCTGGCAGCTCCTTCCACTGAGGGGACTGGCCCACCAGGAAGCCGGCCGGCCGCAGCTCCAGCCCTGGATCCAGACTGCCCGCTGCTCCACCTGGGCAAATTGTGAGCCAACAGCTGCCTTCTGCCTCACAGCAGGAGTTTTTGTGTTTTTCCTGATCATGTGCATAGATAAAATCCCCACCAATATAATATTTTTATTTTATAGCATTAAAATTCTTCCTTCAGGGGAGACGGGGTTCTGCAAACAACCTAATGGCCCTCTCTGAACGTCAGCTCACTGTCAGATAAACAACGGGAAACGGCACAGAAAAACAAGTAGATGCTGCTGTCTGTCCAGCCCAGTGATGACCCCTGTGGCTCTGGGGACACAGGATAAACCCTCACTGAGCTCCTCAAACAGCCTCAGGGATCAAAGTGGGCGCTGCACCTGCAGCTTCCCTTGGCAGAGGCTGGGCCTGTTCCGTCTCAGGCCTTCCTGCGGTGGCCGTGACCGGCAGCCTGGCCCCAGCCGAAAGCAGCAAGCAGCTTCCTGGAGCACATCTCTTCCTGCAGAGACCAACGCCTGCGCCCGGCGATGGCCGCCCCTGGATGTCCAACCAGGAGGCCACAGAACTCTCCTTGTTTCCCAGGGGCTGGGTGACACCTGGGTGGCCTGGAGCTGGTTCCGACCCTGGATCCGGTCTCTGGGACAGGTGGAGGTATTCTTCGGTGTACTTTGGACACCCAAGTATTTCTTGTCATTTGGGAAAGTGCAGCCATTGCTGATCCTCTGGCGACGGGGCTGCCCTCCGTGTGAATGTGAGTTCGTGGCTCCGTGGCCTCTCGTGGGCCCAGGTCGGCTCCTAGGGTTCTGGACGTCAGAAGCCCCAAATCTTGCACTGAGTGGCGTCAGGACGTGGGTGCCTTCGGGAGGCCCCGGCCCTGCAGTTGCTCGGCCCCTGCAGACAGGACACCAGCCCTGGGACGGGACCGGAGGGCCTCTGGCACTAGTGAGTGTCAGGGTCACCAGCGTCACCAGGAGGCCCGCCCCTCCCAGGCCCCAGGTGTTGGCTCAAGGCTGCGTTTAAAAAAGAAAGTGTTTTGCTTTTAGAAGATCACGTCTGTGTCCTGTTGGCCGAGAGGTCATGCTGGCCTGGGTGTCCAGACACAAGTGGGAAAGTAGAGGTCTGCTGCAGGTGCTCCTGCCCTGCTCCTGTGACCGGCCCCTCACTCAGGACCTTTCAGTGAGGAGTGTCTGCCCGCTGCAGGCCGCGCTGGCACCAGAGGCTGGGCACACAGCGGGCTGCACTCCCGCACCACCGCAGGCCAGGGTCAATGGGGAGGCCGCCCTCATCCTGAAGCACACAGTGCTGTCATTTCCAAATCTCTCCAGGTGGCTGCGTGGCGTAGGAGGGACAAGAGCTGTCAGGAGTCCTGCCAGTGTCCCCTGAAGCCCTTCCTTTCCTAGTGGGGAAACCGAGTCTCACTTGCAAGGCTGAGAAGCCTGTGGGTCTCCCCTAGGCACGGGGCCGGGCAGCTCATTGCTCCTGCCCTTCAGTGTGTGCGGTTAGTAAAGGAAACGCGTGGAGTAGAGCAGAGAGAAATCCCTGGACGTCAAGCCCAGAGGACAGCGTCCACCATGACTGCAGTCAAAGGAAGGCCCATCAGAGAGGAGCGCCTGCGCCACCACGTGCCCCAGGAGGTGCCACCCTGCTGGCTCTGGAGGGGCGAGATGGAGGTCGGGTCTCGGGGTCCAGCTCTGGTGGCGACAGAATCTACAGCCAACTCTCCACAAGCTGTCCGTTCCCAGGGACCCGGGGACAGAGTGTGAAAGGCCCACCATGCAGAGGGAGGAAGGACCGGGCACCCGGGCTGGGGGTCCGTGGACTGTGCCATGCTGTCGTGCCCACCCCCTGGGGCTGGCAGTTTGCCTTCTTCATTTCAGCTGTGACAGGGACTTTCCCCCGAGAACACGGAGTCTCTGCCTCCTGAAAATGTGGTCTCGGGGGCTATTTTAAGAGCTGATGTCAGCCTAGAGAGGCGGACGCACCCGGGAAGGGACCAGGCTGCACACACAGCCCTGGAACGCAGAGGAAAGACGCAGGTCGGAGCCCTCAAAGCACCGGCACAAAAACAAACAGGGCAGCTCCAGGCCTGGCCGAGCGGAGGGGTGGCCGGGGCTGCGTTCTGAGGAGCCCCGGGGCCATTGTCCTGGGAACTTCTGGCCGACGTGCAGAGCCCACGGCTTCCTGCCGTTGCTTTCATGTTCTGTCTCCTTTGTAAGATCACAAAGTATGAGAACCGCTGCGGCTCCCGCCTGGGCCTCCCCTGCCCGGGCTGCTGTGGGCTGGGGCCAGGCCTCGCCCAGCGGCCCCCCCCCCCGGCCCGCCCCCAAGGACGGCCCCCCCGCCCCCCCCCCCCCCCCCTCCCCATTGCCGTCCCTGGGCCATCCAGGACCCCCGACCTCTTTGCCCAGGAACATTCCTAGGGGCCTAGGTGCCACCTCTCCCCTGCCGAGTCCCCGCATGTCCCCAGGAAGGCCCCTGAGCCCGAGGATGTGTGTGCACATGGTGACCGGGCTTCACTGACTCCCCCTCCTGCCCCCAAGTGGGCTATGGCATTTGCTGCCATGTCCCCAGCTCAGCACCCATGGCCCCCTCACAGGAAATGGTGCTTCCATCCACCCAGCACCAGAGCCAGACTCGGGGTCTCCCCCGTCAGGAGTGTGTGTCATTAACTTAGACAGACACACCCATGGCTTCCCACAGGTCAGGACTGACGCTCCGCGGCAGCAGCTCTCTGGATACTGTGGCCGCCCGCGGTCCGAAGCCCGGCAATGGCAGGTCCTTTATTCTGATCTTCTCTCTAACATCTGAACACTCAAGCCACACATCTGCCTCCACAGCTTTTTGTTACAGAAGGGCGAAGGAAGGGTCAAGGCAGCCACAGGGTCCAGGAGGCTGAGCAACGGCAAAGGCAGAGAGCAGATGTGGACACAGAGTCGCTGCAGGTGGTCGGACAAGATTAGGAACCAGCAAAGAGCTTGTTCAGAGCCACGGTCCACATAGATGGCAGCTTCAGAGTGTCAGTGTGGAGGCAGGTTGAGATGTCGGTGTGAAGTGGGGCTTGGTGATCGTCACAATCGGTCAAGCCCAAAGACAGAGATTCAGAGGTTTGTCACTGAGATGACTATTCTGGGCAAGTCTCGTGATGAGTGACAGGTGATGCAGGCAGGGTGCCACCCTTTATGGGTCTCCAGTGAGGGCGCTGCTTCATTCAGGTCTGGGTGTCTGAAAGCTCATGAGTCCAACACAAGTTGGATCACCCACCATCCATGGCTTCTGATTGATTTGGTAAGCTCACGGTGGTCATTCTCATTAACAGGATGAATTTATTTTTCAATTATGGCTAATGGTTCTACCAGCGGGTGGTGGTGGTTCACATGTACAAACAAGGTGGGGTCGTCCACCTCAGCACTCAAACCCAAACTGGAGTAGCCTAGGGCAAACACTGGCGTCACCAGGGCAGGTGCAGCCTCAGGATTCCTGTTCCACACACCATGGAGTCACCAGGGCAGGCGCAGTCTGAGGACTGCTGTTCTACACACCATGTAGTCACTCTGGTCAGGCACAGCCTGAGGACTGCTGTCCTACACACCATGGAGTCACTCAGGGCAGGTGCAGCCTGAGGAATTGCTGTTCTACACACCATGGAGTCACTAGGGCAGGCTCAGCCTGAGGACTGCTGTTCTACACACCATGGAGTCACCAGGGCAGGCTC